CAACGCATAACACTTCTCCACTAATTATAAGAAAAGGCCCCTAATCCCCATCCACTAATGCTAACAGATTGTAACAAGGTCCAGTGGGAAACCTACTAAAACTGCTCAGAGGGACATTTGCCCAGAGATGCTAACCCTGACATCTTTACTTTGGGAAGCAAGTCGGTGAGGTCTTTTTAAATAATCATGGTACCAAGACAGTACTAAAAGACAGAACTGAACCTGTGCACTGGAGACTGGTTATTGAGAGACAGGGAGTCCTCCGACCCCTCCATCTGCCTACCTGGAGCAATACAGTGTTCTCCCGAGTGTTAGGGCTCACCTCTCGAACGTTGGGCATGTCGAGCAACTCTCCAAAGACATAGATGCCAGGGGCTTCCAGCACTTGATGGATGAGGCTGGCCAGGGCAGCTCCCCGGGCAGACTTTGCCAGCAGCAGGAACTGCTCCTGGTTCTGCCCTGTGACTTTCACCTCGGCAGCCATGGAGTCTCCCCTCGGTCTGCTCCAGGGCCGGGCTGCGGACCCCACAACCTAAAGGAACAAACAAGCATTACAAGCAGAGCTTTTCTTTCCCCATTTCCCCCCAAGCAACCAGTCCCTAACAGAACTGGACATTTATACCAAATACAGTTATTTGATCCTTAGAGAATATATATATATTTTTAAAATTACATGATTTATAAGTCATTGTTGTTGTTCTGTGCCTTCAAATCCTTTCTGGCTTTTGCTGAACCTATCATGGGATTTTCTTGGCAAGATTTGTTCAGAGGGGGTTTGTCATTGCCATCCTCTAAGGCTGAGAAAGTGTGACTTGCCCATGGTCATCCAGTTGTTTTCCATAGCTGAGCCAGAATTCGAACTCTGGCCTCCAGAGTCATAGCCCAATACTCAATACCTCACTACACCACGGTCATACCACCAAAAAAAAAAAAAAAAAAAAAAAAAAAAAAAAAAAAAAAAAAAAAAAAAAGGTTCTGGGCATGTCACCAGTAGAAACAACAGATTAGAAACTGTATAAAACAGTCAAAATAAAACATCATTAAAATGTCAGAGAGAGCCAGCATGGTGTAGTTGTTTCAGTGTTGTATCCTGGAGTATAGGGTTTGATTCCCCACCTGGCCATGAGAGCATGGACAAGTCACACTCTCTCAGCCTCAGAGGAATGCAACAGCAAACCCCCTCTGAAGAAATTTGCCAAGAAAACCTCGTGATAGGTTTGCCTTAGGGTCACCGCAACTTGGAAACAATTTGAACACAACTAACAACAACAACAACAAATGTGAGCTTTTGTAGACGTGACTCTTCTTCCTCAGATGAACATTTAATCTACATAATACATTATGTTAATGTATTAAGCATATTGTTCCATATCCTAATGTCACAAACTTCTACAGTCTAATAAGTGTTTTCCCTTTATTAGTACTTTAATCTTTAACGCCTTTCATATATAGATTCCTCCAACTTTGTGTGGTATTGTGGTTTGAGGACTACGACTCTGGAGACCAGGGTTTGAATCCCAGGTCAGCCAGGGAAACCCACTGAGTGACCTTGGGCAAATCACACTCTCTCAGCCTCAAAGGCAATGGTAAACCTCATCTGAAGAAACTTGCCAAGAAAACCCTGTGACAGGGTTGCATTAGGGTGGCCATAAGTCGGAAATGACTTGAAGGCACATAACAAACAATACACACAAAAACACACACACACTGGGTGACCTTGGTCAAGTCAGACTCTCTCAGCCTCTAAACAAATCATGTCTAGAAAACTCCATCATAGGGTTGCCTGAAGGTCACCATAAGTCAGAAAAGACTTGAAGGCACATACGCACACTGTATTCACACACACAGAGAGACATATAATATAAAACACACATACACGTTATATACACACACACACACACACATATATGTACATAATATAAAACACACATACACGTTATATACACACACATAAGTACACACACACACACATATATATAAAACACACACATACATACACAAACATATATATATATGAAACACACATGTACACGTTATATATACACACATACATATATACACACACACACATATATATAACATACACGTACGTTATATACGCACACATACCTATATTCAAACATACACACACACATTATATATAAAACACACATGTACATATTATATACACACATACATACATATATTCACACGCATATATATATATATATATATATATATATATATATATATATATAACACAACACATACATGTTATATACACACACACACATATAACACACACGTACTCGTTATATATGCACATGTACCTATATTCAAACACACACACACACACATATATATAAAACACACATGTACACGTTACACACACACAAACATATAAGATACAGGTACATGTTATATACGCACATGTACATATATTCACACACACACACACACACACACACACACATATATATATATATATATATATATATATGGGTGACCTTGGGTAAGTCACACTCTCAGCCTCAGATGGAGACAAAGGCAAACCTCCTCTGAACCAATCTTGCTCAGGAAACTCCAGGATAAATTCCCCTTCAGGTTGTAAAGGACTTGAAGGTGCACACACACTGTATTCGCACACACTACACACACACACACACACACACACTACAGGGTAAGCTTGGGCGAGTCACACTCTCTCAGCCTCAGGGGAAGGCAAACCTCCTCTGAGGAAATCTTGCCAAGGAAACCCTGTCAGAGGGTCACCACCATAAATCGTTAACAACTTGAAGGCACACAATACACACACAGATACCCCCCACACACACACACACATATGTATATTCTGGGTGACCTTGGGTGAGTCACACTCTCTCAGCCTCAGATGGAGACAAAGGTAAACCAAAGAACAGCCAAAGAGCGCGAGCTCCCAACCCAAACCGGCCCCCACGGAACCCAGCAGCCCAGTGAGGCTGAGAGAGCGTGACTTGGAAACCAAGGCCTACTCCCTGAGGGACCCCTACCTGGAGCCTCCGCTTTCGCCGCCTCCCGACCCCCTCGGCCACAGAAGGACCACTTCCGGGTTGGTGACGTCACAGCTGCCCTCCAGGCCCCGCCTCCCCGAGCTCTCCATTGGCCACCTCCTCCCTGACGGACGTCCCACTCCTCTTTGAGGAAAGCGTCGGTTAAACTTGGCTCCCTCAGTGGTTTCGGACTTCAACTCCCAGAAGCCCTAGCCACCTTGGCCAGCGGTCAGGAATTCTGGGAGCTGGAGTCCAAAATATTTAGAGGACCCAAGTGGGGGAAATGAGTGGGTTAGGTGAAGGGTGACCAGATGTTCTAATAACCACAAAGGAGGACCAGGCACCGCCCAATGTAGGGCCTTCAAGAAACATGGAGGACACGACCAAATAAAAGCTATAAAACACTCAAATCAATACAAATTCTTGCTTCTTAGTCCTATAAATGTATAATAAATGTCATTTATAAAGGTAAATTACCCATGCTTCTTAGCCATGCTCAAAATGGAGGACATCCTGGAATTCCTCCTGGACAGAAGGTTGTAATGGAGGGCGTGTCCTGGAAAAGGAGGACAGGCCTGGTCACCCTGGGCGCAGGCCGCTTCTCCTTCTGTCCAGGAGGAATGCCAGAATGTCCTCCATTCAGGATGATCAGGCGTCCTCCTTTTCCAGGACATGCCCTACATTTCAAGCTTCTCTGCAGGAGCAATTCCCCAATGTCCTCCATTCATGGTGACCAAGCCTCCTCCTTTTCTAGGACAGACCCTACATGCCCTCCATTCATGGTGACCAGGTGTCCTCCTTTTCCAGGACATGCCCTACATTTCAAGCTTCTATCCAGGAGGAATTCGAATGTCCTTTTCCCCTTAATTTCAGCAGAAAGGACAAATGGAAGGAATAATTATCTGTATGGAAATTTTAATGTTGTAAGCCGCCCCGATTGCTCTGCAGAGGGGCGGGATATAAATAATTTATTATTATTATTATTATTATTATTATTATTATTATTATTATTATTATTATTATTTAAATGTAGATTCAGTTGCTGGTAAAGTACAATTTTAAAGTATTTGTCTTGCTCAGAGCTCTAGAAGCCAAAAAGGTATTTTAACGAAGATGGTTCACCAGAAATATACGATTGTGTTGGACTATGACTCTGGAGACCAGGGTTCGATTCTCAGCTCAGCCATGAATCCCATTGGGTGACCCTGTCACACTCTCTCAGCCTCAGGGGATTTTCTTGGTATGAGTTGTTCAGAAAGGCTTTACCCTTGCCTTCCTCTCAGGCTGAGAGAGTGTGACTTACCCAAGGTCACCCAGGGGGTTTCATAGTCGAGCTGGGAATTGAACCCTGGTCTTCCTGCTCTGCCATGAAACCCACTGGGTGACCTTGGGCAAGTCACACTCTCTCAGCTTCAGGGGAAGGCAATGGCAAACCTCCTCTGAAGAAACTTTGCCAAGAAAACCCCATGATAGGGTTGCCTTAGGGTCGCCACAAATCAGAAATGACTTGAAGGCTAACAACAGCAGCAGCATGTAATAAAATACAGTATATATGTGAGTGTTTTTAGCTTTTATGTTGCCTTTATTGTTTTTTTTGAAATAATTTTTATTAATATTATTTTGAAACTTGTTAGATAAAAACAAAATTACATTTTTACAACAAACATATTCTTCTCACAAACAAATATAACAGTCATTCATACAATGATTTGTCACTTCCTTATCTACAGCTTTTTGCTATGGTATAACTTTTTTCAAAAATTATAAATATAGACTATCTCCACATTGAAAATATAATAGTTTTTACCCTACATTTTTCCTCTTATGAACTGCATACAGGTTGTTGTTGTGTGCCTTCAAGGCGTCTCTGACTTATGGTGACCCTAAGATCATGAGGTTTTCTTGGCAAGATTTGTTCAGAGGAGGTTTGCCAGTGCCTACCCCTGAGGCTGAGAGAGTGTGACTTCCCCAAGGTCACCCAGGGGGTTTCATGGCCAAGCCAGGATTTGAACCCTGGTTTTCAGAGTCATAGTCCAACGCTCAAACCATTAGACCTCCCTGGCTCCAACCAGGGTACTACCAAAGTACAATAACATCCCAAATCCACAAAACAGTGCTATCTTCAGTGGACCAACTGAAATGCATAATATACATGTTGCAAGCTTTCAGAGCTCCACTGGCTTCTTCATCAGGCAGGCAAAGATGTTCAAATTCCACAGGCGAGGGGGAAATGACAATGTTAGCCTACATTTTGTCAAGACGTTGTGGTTGTCCTCAGTTCAGATGGCATGGGACATTATTTATACAAGCAGGGCCCTCATTCCTCTGCATTTTAAAATACATGGAAGTATAACACAGAATGCAACAATCCTTTTAGTACTCCATGCGATTTCAGAATTGTAGGCATTCCCAAGTAAGTAATATTTACTCTGCAATTAAAGCTACATACATATTGTTATTCCTGACAAGGAATCTGATGTGTCAATGTATTGGTTTATTATCCTTATTGGTACTCCCAGGTTCTCACTTAGAATCATAGAATACTTGAAAGAGACCCCAAGGGCCATCCAGTCCAACCCCATTCTGCCATGCAGGAACTCAAAATCAAAGTATCCCCGACAGATGGCCATCCAGCCTCTGTTTAAAGACCTCTAAAGGAGAATTGCTATATTGCAAAGCAGCTTTTGTGTGTGAGAGAGAGAGCATCTGGGAAATTACGGTACTTTTTAAAAAGAACTTTTATATTCAGCATGCAGCTTGCGACATCTCCTCCCACATTTTTTGCTAGAAGGGGCATTGCATTTGTTTAAAAAGTGACTCATTACATTATTTGAATCATTTCATTGTTTTCTCCTACATTCATAAAATAAAATAAAATAAAAATAGGATTGATGAGAGTGGGATACTACGTGGAAAGCTCTGATCAAAATGCCTCTAACGTGCTTAAGAAGTCTTTTAAAAGAAGTTCTTATTAGGTAACTCAGAAACAATGTTTCCCATCCATAACTCGTTTCAGGGTGTTTTTGGTGTTTTTTTTTAAAAAATGGCACGTCGCTATGCTCTCTTCCCCAAAAAATAAATTAATTAAAAAATAGAAAACTTACTACTTTGTAGCATGTTACTTCCACATTTTGGTGTGGTGTGTGTACATGTCCAGGTGTGTGCCCTGTGCATGCACCAAACACGCATTTGGCATAATCCAGGAGCAGTGTTGCTAAACATGTGCTTCAAGTTTAAATCCTACATGTTTGGCTAAATTTAGCACTCCTGGGAAATAATCCAACTAAACATTTCTCTTTCCACCTCCAGAATGGTAGCCCATGTTACTCTGTAGCACCAAAACCAGTGTTGTGAAAGGCTAGCAAATACACTATGCCATGAATTGTCTAGAATCATAGCACCATAAGGTTCGAAGGCACTTCGTGACCCATCTACTCCAACTCCGTGCTCAGTTCAGGATCTCTAGGTCAACCATACCCAGCAGGTAGCTGTCCAGCTTCTTTCTGCAGACATCCAGAGAAGGAGACCCCCATCACCACTGTAGGCATGATAATAATAATAATAATAATAATAATAATAATAATAATAATAATAATAATAATATGATGATGATGATGATGACCGCTATGGAGAAGCACTGGCAGATGGGAATGTTCAGAGCAACCAGGAGAAAGGATTTTAAAATAACAAAAGAAGTCCAGTATTATAGGAGGAGTGTGTTATGTGGGAAGCAAGTCAGTGAGGGAACCTAAACATAGTAAATCTGTAACAACTGTAACAAATGACTTATAGGGAACTGGGTATGTTTAGCCTGGAGAAGGGATGGTTAAGAGGGGATATGATAGCCCTGTATAAGTATTTGAAGGGGTGTCATATCGAGAATGGAGCAAGCTTGTTTTCTGCTGCTCCAGAGAATGGGACTCGGAGCAA